AAGTTTAAAAATTTGGATCTCAATCAATGGAGTCACCTTTCATAGGACTATTAATCAAGAAAGCCCTGTCAGAAAAAAAAATCTTTGAGGGGGAGGGGCAACTGCTATTACTTCCCCATAGCAAACTCCTAAATGCAGAAAGCATGTCCTCACTACCACAGAATCCATAAATCCAGTGTGTGGGAAACAGGACTGGACCCAGGACCCCACTGCAACGAAACACTTAAGTATGTGCACAAGTCCATCTGTATTCAGAGAGCATCAGACTTCAATGGTACTTAGTACATGCTTAAGTATTTTGCTGAACTGAGGCCAAGGACAGCACACAAAAGGAAGTGGAAGGGAGTTTTATTTATATCAACTATGCTTTACTTGAGCAGTCTGATAATTTCTGCATACGGATTTATTTATTTCATTAACTGTAATATGTCAGAATGATTCAACTTTTATATTTCGCTTTGCCTGCTGCATAATTAGTACACAGTAAATTTTCTGAGACTAGAGGGCCACAAATAATGTCTTCTTGATGCAACCCATCAAAGGTGGGTAGTAGGTTTTTTTAATACAAAGCAATTAATAGTCCTCAGAAATTTTCCATTGCAGAGTAAAGCTGTGTCTAGACTACACCTCTCTGTCGATAGAGAGATTAGATTAGGCACGTTGAAATTGCTAATGAAGCAGGGATTTAAATATCCTGTACTTCATTAGCATAAACATGGCTGCCACTTTTTTCAAAATGGAGCTTTTTCGAAAAAAAAAGGCAGTCTAGACCCGCAGATCTGTTGAAAAATAAAACCTTTTTCGAAAGAGCCTGTAAACCCCATTTTTTGAGGAATACAGGATCTTTTGAAAAAGGGTTTATTTTTCAACAGATCTGCGTCTAGACTGCCATTTTTTAAAAAAAAGCGCCATTTTGAAAAGAAACCCGGTGGCCATGTTTGTGCTAATGAAGCGTGGGATGTTTAAAATCCTGCTTCATTAGCAATTTCGACATGTCTAATCAACATCTCTCTGTCGACAGAGAGGTGTAGTTTAGACCCTAATAGAAAATGGAACTTTCAGAAATGCATTTATGGAACAAAGTTTTTGCTGTGACTTCACCAAATAGAACACTGGAATGAAGATTTCCATTTTTCAGAAAAAGCACCTCCGAATTGTCAAAAGTGTTCTGTTGTAAGAGTGGCTATAAAGTATTAAATAGTTGCAATTAGTTATCTAGAAATATTTATTCTGGAACCAATACTATATTCACCTCTGCAGAATCTCTGCTTATAGCAGACCAGCAAAGCTCACTGCTCAGTGGGCGGGGAGAATTCTCTGTAAGTGAGCATCTGCTGTGGAGTACCACACTCAGTCCTGCAGTGTTGTCCCACAAAAAAGTGCACATGGGGGGGGGGACCTGGGCAGTGATGAGTGGAGGTGGGATCATCTCAAGGTTCCCAGTATCTCTTAGGGGCTCTGACATCTAGGCAGAAAGGCCACTCATCCAACAAAAAAGAGACTAGCACACACAGATATTTGGTCTATGGATTGCTGCCCAGGATTTTGGCCTGAAAGCACCGAACTATAAAGTTGAGATTTTCAGTCACTTTTAGAACACCCAAATTATTTTTGTGGCTTTGAAAATCCCACCCCAAGGGTTCCAGTCATTTGTGCTCTTAGTTATTACAAATTGCAAAGTCTTCCTCTAGGAGTTTGGGAATTCACAACAGGACAGTTACTTCTTAAGAAAAACTGAATATCAATCATTATATATATTCATTATATATATTTACCTTGCACTTACACCTATGCTTTGTTTCTCTTCATAAAATATCAGTGTCTCTGCTTATCATACTGACCAAGTGAGGAAAGCCTTGTAGCCTGAAATGTTGGTATTTTTACTATGAGGATATACACAAGCATATTTAGGTTAAAGGATTTCTCATTGTTCTGCTTCAATTAATATAGCATTTTGGATTCAGAGGAAAATCAAAATAAAATTTCCTAGCTAGTTTACAATAGTTACAAATAAAGTTTAAGATATTAAAAATAAAAAAAACCATTTACATATAGTTGTGAAACAAACTGACAATAGCAAGGAAAATCACGGCTGAGCTGCATTCACTGTTAAATTTTAACATGGCACAAAAGTATGAGTATAGGGCCCAATCTGGCAATCCCTCAAGCACTTGCCCATTTATTCAATATGTTTACTTACATGTATAAATTTAAGCATGTATGTAACTGTTTGAAGTATCATGGCCAAAGAATGAAGCACCAGCATTAATTAATCTGGCAGACTCAGACAGACATTCGTCATAATTTATGCTTCCCTGTCATTACAAAAAAAATTTCTGAAAGATAATAAAAAAGACCACTGTCTGACCCACTGTCTATGGCATCCTGAGATCTTGAGGGAGAAGGAAAAATTTAGGCAGTCCTTTAAAAAATGTTATGGACTAAACAGACCAGCAGGGCTCCTTGTAGAATTTTTCATTGTGTATTTAGAATATTTTGTAAAGGGCTATTATTTATGCAACAGACTCAAATGCTTCCTGAGGAGCAGTTTCAGTTTGTTGTGAAAGTATAAATTTAGGGAGTGTATTTTATGACCTAGAAGTAGGTTGTAAAAGCCTTAAAAAAGGTTAGGAGACAAGGTGGGTGAGATAATCTTTTAATGGACCAACTTCTGTTGGTGACAGAGACAATCTTTAGAGTGTAAACAGAGCAGTTCTTATGTCTAGGAAAGGTACTCAGAACATCATAGCTAAATACAAGGTAGAAGTACTGTTAAGCATAAAGTTAACATGTTTCAAGGTGAAGTGTCCAGTTAACACTTGTGCAATCATAGGACAAAGGAAAGTTAGTGGGTTACTTACTGATTGTTGTAATCAGCCATAAATCATGTCTTCATTGGGTCCATGATTTTTGTGTGTTTCCCACACTTACCCTAAAGGGGCTAATGTATACCAGGCAGAAGGGCCAATTAACATATGATGCTGCAAACTGGGGAAACTAAGGCTGAGAAGAAAGCCTAATTAGAGGAAGCTCACCTGTGTAGGAACAGGAATGGGTTCTATAAAGCTAATAGCAGAGAGCGGCTTGAGGGAAGTAATCTGTAGTCACTCCCTGGGGGAAAGGGATATGTATTTGGGGCAGTAGAAATTAGCCTGCAATTATTCCCTAAGAGGAGATAAGGCTAGCAAACCTGCAGGGGGATGGGTATCAGAGCCAGGAGGAGAATGAAAGGTTCAAGTAAAAAAGGCAACAAGATTCAGGATGGTGCAACCTTGGTTGTGACTAGAGGGTTCCTGAGCCAGAGCCCAGAGTAGTGGGTGGGCCTCGGTACCCATACCAGCCACTGTAGAAGTGGCATCAGTGGGGCAGTGAATGAGAAGGCTAAGACCGCTGGTAAGGAACTGATTTTGGTACCTCAGATGGGGGAAACGTGGATAGTGAGCTGGTGGGAGGTCTATGTCACGAAGCGGGAGAACCTTGAGTGGCCAAAAGCATAAGAGAGTAGCAGCAGGGTGTGCAGTGAGCAGCAGAAAGAAGTCTTGGACTGGGAAAGAGCTGGCTCCCAAAGAAGCCAGGAGGAGCTGCCACCTGTGGTGACTTTGTGACAGTCTTCTGAATTTAAGTGTCCAAGCTCATCTTTTGACGGTGTTGTGCAGGTTTCCTTTGCAGACAAGGACTGAGAGGTCAGATCTGATCACACTGTGAAAAGTGTTCATCAATGGGACATAGTGTGCTTTTTGATTCTTTCGCCTGCAGAATTTTGTTCAATAAAAGATATGATCTCCCCCACCTTGTCTCTGATATCCTTGGGACCAAAAGAGGTACTACAACACCGTAAACATTTGTTTTTAAATATCACAAGCAGGAAACATAGTCATACATAGCACTCTTCATCCAGAGAACTCAGAGTGCTTTACATAGAGAAGTAACCCTCACTATTTCCATTTTTACATAGGATAAACAGAGCCACAGAAAGGCACTGTTCGGGGTCACACAGAAAGTCACTGAAGAGCTGGGAATAGAACCCAGCTTTCCTGACTCACACTGAGTGCTCTAGCCATTCAAAACTACTGGCTTGTTCAAATAAGGGCTCTATGCAGAAAATATTCACAGCCTTCTGAGATAGCAGGAGGGGCAGCAATCTGAAGAAAGGCAAATATGCTGTTATACACCCCATCAAGTTTTGCACCAGAACTCTGAATTCTGAGTTCATCCCTCTTACTTTCCAGACCAGTGACTGCCTGGCATCATTTCCTTTGTTGACAGAAAACAACTAAGGAAATATCATTGAATCACATACCGCCTTTGGAAATCTTTCCCAATAAGGAAAAAAACTGCCTTTGCATTTAAATAATGTCATTTACATGAGCCTCAGTGCTCCTGAGAAAGATATATTCTGAAGCAGACATCAAAAGTGAAACTGTCATCATCCTGCAGCTACCGTAGAGGGCACGGGCCCCAGGAACAGGGAGCTAGCTCTTTGCCTGCTAAACCTCTGAGTTTCCATGGAGCAACAGAAATGGTCTGATTCTATGTGAGCATGGCTGAGGTGTTTACATCCTTGGGATCTCTGACTGCTACAGTGGAGACTGTTGCAGCCCCATTGAGGTATCTTGCCTGGAGCCTAGCTTGGACTGGTTATGGACTTTACACCATTTTACAGAGTATAGGAACAAGCCTTCTCCCCTTCCTATTTAGTTCAATGGTGGCAGAATGGGCCCTGCTGGGGTTTGCGCCCGAATAATTTGTAAATTAAAAAACAACAACCCTGAAAACACAAC